GAGGGAGGCGTCGAGGGCCCTGTGTAGCGGAGGGGTGGGAGAGCCGGGGTCACAGAGAGCCCCGCTCTGGGTGCAGCTGGGAGTCCCAGAAGGGAGGTACAGTCGCCCTTCCTCCTGCAGCACAGCACATCCGAGGTCTGGCTATGGCGACCGAGACGTGGCGGGCAGAGCTCCCCGCAGCTCCCTCCCAGAATCTCTCGGCCGCTGGCTCGGCCGCACCCTTAGGAGAGGGCTGGGCGGCCGGAAGGAGCAGCCAAGTGTGGTGGCTGGCAGGGGCGCGGCACTCACTGTCCGGCAGCGTGGAGCGCTCCACCACTGAGCCGAAGGGCCTGTCCATGTCCACGCTGTGGGACTGCACCGCGAACTCATACTTGGTGAACGGCTTCAGCCCGCCGATGAGGCTGTCCTCTCCCGAGCTGCGGCGGGAACGGCCAGAGACCTCGGACCCCAGCCCCTCCTCGGACGGGCGAGCTGCACCCCCCGGGGCCTCCCCAGGAACCCGAGCTAGCGCCACCCAGGGGTCCCTCTGCGGCCGGTCTGCTGCCTTCCACGCCAGAGGTGAGCCGGCGGCGGCCCCTGTGGGTGAGGTCTGAGGCCAGGCGGGGCTCGCCGGCTCTCAGAGGGGAACCGGCAGCCGCTCTGGCTCCTGTGGATGGGAACCAGTAAGGGGGTGGGACCAGGCGGCTCCTTCTCACCCGGGGACCCGTGCGGACTCTCAGGTGAGTCCCTGTCACCCTCCCACCTGGTGTAGTAGGTGACGAGGGAGGCGTTCCTGAGCCCCCAGGGGCTGAAGCCCACGGTGTAGTTGACGATCTTGACCGTGGTGAAGTCTGGCTTCTTCCACCGCAGCCAGATAGATGTGGAGCTGTTGGATTCTGCGTGGACGTGAGCAGGGGGCAGGGGTGGCCCCCTCTGGATGGGTAAATCTGCAAGGAACGGCGGGCACGGTGGGGGGGGCAGGGCTCCCGTCTAAGTTCCCAAGGTCCTTCCTTGGGCCCTCTCTTATTTTGTTGGTACTAGGAAATGAACCTAAGGCCTCTGCCTGAGCTACATCTCCAGCCCCTTTTTATTTTTAAATTTAAGACAGAGTCTCGCTAAGCCATTAAGTTGCCCAGGCTAGAGTGGAACTTTTGATCCTCCTGCCTCTGCCTCCTAGAGTGCTGGGCTTGCACATCCACCTTGGCATTATTCCCACCTCACAGGTAATGAAATCTGTGAAGGCTGTACATACAGCAGACTGTGGATCACTAGTGCACAAGAACACGAGAAAGAGAGAGAAGGGGGGCACCTTGTGGAAGTTAAGAGCACATACTGGAGCCAGGCTGCTTAGGTTCAAATTCCAGCCGTGCCACTTATGGCTGTGTGACCCTGGACAGGTTCCTTAACCTCTCTGTGCCTCCATTTCCTACTCTGTAAGTGCATGTGATTGATGATAGTACCTACTTCATGGGGCTATTATGAAGATTGCATTCGTTAACATTTGTAAAGCAGATAGAAAAGCATCTGGCATTCAATACGTACTATTTGGTAAGTGTTTATTATAGAAACATAAAACAATAAAACTCCATGCCAGCAGGCCCCTTATTTGTGCTGTTTCACCACTAAATTCCCAGAACAGAGCTGGCATGGAGTAGATACTCAGTAAAATATTTGCTGACTGAATAAATGAACAAACTAGAGTTAAAACCCAGGTCTCCTGGCTTCCAGGTGAGCGCGCTTTGCTTGCTAAACCACCAGATTGATAAACCCTCCTGGGAAGTGGGGTGAGGTGGTGTCTCGCTGGATGACCGATGTTTACCACATGGGGCGCCCTCCCTGCCTGGAGTTAAGGGATAATTTTCAGGACGGCATGATGGCCCCAGCTGTGTTTGAAACACTTTTAAGATCAGACTTGGGGTCGGGAATCACTGCTCCACTACCGCGGGTCTCTGTCCACTTTCCAAAGTAGCTGTGCTCGTAAAGGATCAAGAAGCAGACTTAAAGACGGCGCTCAAAGCAGGGTTTCTGGTCGGGCAGGGAGAGCCAGCTGGGAGCATGGGCTCGGAGAAACCGAGGCTGCCACACTCCCTAGATCGGTCCCCGGCACCTCACCTGGCGTGGGCGCCTTCTCGGTCTTGCCCTTCCACACCGCTGCGTAACCGTCCTCGTGTTTGTTGAACGCAACAAGCTTCACCTCGTACAGCCGGCCAGGGACTGGGAAAGGACACAGGGTCGCTCACCGCCTACAGGGCCCTCCAGGAGCGCGCTCCACCCCTTCTCCTGCCCCCTGGGTCCTCACCTAGCTGGGTCAACTCGTACTGCTTCACTTTCTTCTTCAGCCTGACCGGCCCCACATCCCAGGCCTGGTCTCCACGGCCCTCTAGGGGGCGCTCACCCTCAGCCTCCTCAGCCCCCACCTCCCACCAGTACAGTTTGTAGCCGGAGATCTGGGCTGGGTGAGGGGGTGGCTGCCGCGACACGATCAGGGACTCCATCTGCGCGCGCACGAACCTTCAGCTCTGTAGGAGCAAAAGGGACTGGGACAGAGGAAAGAAAAGGGAGGAGGGAGGAGGAGGAGGAGGAAGAACGACACGATCAGGGACTCCATCCGCGCACGCACCTTCAGCTCTGTAGGAGCAAAAGGGACTGGGGCAGAGGAAAGAAAAGGGAGGAGGGAGGAGGAGGAGGAGGAAGAAGGGAAGGGGAAGGGCCCAGAGATGGGAGGGGACAGGCCGGGGACAGAGTCAGCCTGAGCTGTGCCAGCGCCTCTCTCCTGCACCGCTCTGTGACCCCCATGCTCAGGGCCAGGCCTGGGCTCCAGCCCAACACGCTGGAAATGCAGATTCTAGGAATGCAGGTGTGTCTCCCGCGCATGTACGGAGGGGCAGATGGGACATCTCCAGGCAGGTCCACAGGGCGCCTGGCACAAAGAAGGCCTGGGAAGGCTCTCAGAGCAGCAAATGCTGGTAAGGGGCTGCACAGGCCAGGGAGCAGGGCTGGAGCCATGGGAACGAGGAGCCCCAGCTGGAGGCCAAGAGCAGGAGGCTTACTCATCACTGTGTGAGGTGGTCAAAGTATTTACCTTTATTCTCATACAAAATATTATCAATTCATTTTACAGATAGGAAAACTCAGGCTTAGAGAAGTTAAGTAACTGGCTCGATGTCCACAGACACTATGTGTCCTCGGTTTTGTCTGCATTAAAACTGTGCTCCTCCTATTTGGGATTTAGCTCAGTGGTGCAGCTGCCTGCCTTGAAAGCACAAGGTCCCAGTTTGATTCCCGGTACCAAATAAATAAAGTTGCGCTTTTGGGGCTCTTGAAAAATAATTATAATAATTAAAGCAGCTACTATTTTATGAGGGTTTTTGTTTGTTTGTTTTGAGACAGGGTCTCACTTTGTAGTCCAGACTGGCCTCGAATTTGCTGCAATCCTCCTGCCTCAGCCTCCCAAGTGCTGGGATTACAGAGGTGTGCCACCACACCCAGCTGATGAGTTCTTAGCTTGTACTAAGCACTCCACTTCCAACACATTATTAATCCATATGCCAGCCGGGACAGGCAATGAAGCCTCAGAACTAAGAATGGTTTGGCCAAGCTCACAGCAAGGACAGAAGGGACACCCGAGCCCGGCTCTCACCCCTTTCCTACACACGGGCTTCCTTCTCCATCAAGGGATGCACAGAGGGACTCTGGGGCCCTGGTTCCGAGGGCATGTGTATCCCACACAACCACACACATGGCCCCTCCGACCTGTACCATGGCTCCGGTTGTGTGCCCCGGGCGTCCTGTGCTGCCTCCAAGGGGAGGGTGCCCCATAGCCGGCCGCTGTGCCCGCCGAGATCCGCACTCTGTAGGCCTTGTTTGGCTGCAGCGAGTGCAGCATCAGCTGTGTCTCGTTCCCCGGCACCTCGGTGGAGAAAACCTGATCTGCTGGGACAGAAAAGACAGAGCTGGTTGTACCCCACTCCCTGATGTGACCTCAACAGTCCCCATGCTGACGTTTCTGCTTCAGATCCGCCTCCTGCCTCATTCCACAGATAAGGAAACTGAGGCAGGACTCCACTAGATTTCAGGCCGCAGCTGTGGAGCTGGCCCTTCCATCTCCCTCTTCATCCTGCAACCTCATCCCTATTTCCTGCCACACAGCCCCCCACGCAACCCTAACCTGGGCCCCACTCACCTTCCTTTCCCAAAACGTACTCTATTCTGTACTTCACCACCTGCCCATGGCTCAGGCTGGAGGGCAGGGGCAGCCACGCCACCTTGATGTCCGAGGGGTTGGGGCTGGACAGGGAGAGCTGGGGCGCTGCATTGGGGACTGAGACAGAAGAACAGGGTGAGTGGTGCTCCACCAAAGTGGGAGGTGAGGCATAGGAATGGGCAGAGACTTGCCCAGGGCGCTTGGCAAGTCAGAAGAAGGCAGGACCAGGATCTGAGGGAGGAAAGGGAGCCTCTCAGCCCGCCCCCCCAAAGCAGAATGCGGGGACACCCTTCCTTCCCTGAAGCTAGAGGGCGCTGTGGGGCACTTGGGCATCAGGGAGGACTGTGTGCTAAGAAGTCACGCAATCTGGGCTCTAGTCCCATCTGTACTACTGACTGGACAAGACACCCTTCCTTCCCTGAAGCTAGAGGGCGCTGTGGGGCACTTGGGCATCAGGGAGAAGGACTGTGTGCTAAGAAGTCACTCAATCTGGGCTCAAGTCCCATCTGTACTACTGACTGGACAAGTCACTCATCTTTCTGGGCCTCAGTTTCCCCAACTGTAAACTGGGGAGAGGAACCCTGCCCTTTTCTTTATCCCTCAGGGACTGCAGTGAAGGGAAGGGGAGCTACAGCCCCTGGGCGCTCTCCGGGCCTCGGCCTACCGTCATCGGGAGTGTGCACCAGGGCCAGGGTGGATGTGCGGCTGGCCCCCAGTTGCGAGTAGGCCACCACGTAGAACTCGTAGTCGGTATTGGGCTCCAGGTCCCGCACCTGTAGCTCGGTGGTGTCATTGTTCACTGCGAACTGGTACTCCACGTTGTCCGTGCCTGGGATGGTGACAGGCCCAAAGGACTGTCACAGAGCCACCCCAGGCACTGGCCAGCTGGAACCTATCTAGAGATCATTTACACTGTCCCAATCTCTGGAGTCGTCTACTTGTATCTAAAACTTCCCAGACATTTGGAGCTGCACAGGGCACACTTCCGGTTATCAATCCCTCCCCTGGTCTGGAAGCTGCGACTGGCGTGACGGCTGTAGATGTGCCGGCAAGGGACACAGTCAGCAAGAGCTCTTTCAGTGCCCCCCCGCAGGGTGCCCAGAGTTGCCAAACAGGGAGGGGGGCCTCCCCCCTGGGCTCCCACCCATCCCATCCTACCCTAAAGGTACCCACCAGGGACCCCTCAGTCACCCGACGCACCCCCTGCAGAGGGGCCTTTGAGGGCCAGCCTACCCCGGGCCTTCTGGTAGTGCAGCGAGAAGCCGATGATCTGCTCGCTGTGCAGCTCGGGCCGCTCCCAGGACACCAGCACGGCGGAGCTGCTCAGCGGCGTGGCGGTGACCCATGTGGGGGCGCTGGGCAGCCCCTCGCGCACCACTACGGCCAGGGC